CTGGATCACGCAGTGTGTGTCTGCCAACCTCAACTGCAGTCACCGGAAGATCGTCCAGAGAGATAGACATTATAATTGGGTTGTAATTAACACAGTCAAAAATGTTATATAGTTGCGCTGAACAGAATAAAAACTGTCGTCGTTTGCTTGTTATAACTGCGATGAATTAAAGTAACACCCCCGTCGCCAATTTGTTATATCTGTAGGGGATTGAATGAAGACGTTTTCACCTTATTCTGTCTGCGCCTGAACTAATCTGTCTATCTGCTCGTCGTACCTTCCGACTTGGTAAAACACGCAAATATCAAAAGACAAAGGCTGGACTGTGACTGTGTATTGAGGTGCAACAACGATAAAGAAAGCCATGGTATTTATACATTTTACAACAATATGGACAGCTAACAGCATTTGAAATAATTGACCTTAATAGCCAATAACAAAGTGTGTGAGAAATGATAATATGCCATATGTGCGACATTGACAGTCAGTAACAAAATGTGTGGGAATGATAATATACCATATATACAAAATTAGCAGTCACTACCAAAATGCGTGAGAATGATAATATACAAAATTAGCAGTCACTACCAAAATGTGTGGGAATGATAACATACCATATATGCAAGTTTAAACAGTCAATACCAAAATATGTGGGATCCTATCAGTCGTCCACCCTTTGATTTGAGTTCATTGTACGTTCTGTTGTCAACCAGTTTCTTGACGAGTAGTTCTTTGAGGCATTTATTTACCTTATTTTCGAATGACGTTGTTGAATCCTTCTTGGTTTTGTCCACTTGAAATTTTCCGGAGTCGTTAAGAATTGTCAACATCCTATGTACATAATCAGTTTTATTCATTATAACAATTCCAGAGCCTTTGTCGGGTCTCAACATGACGATATCATCATTTTCACATATTCTCCTTAGGGCTGCTCTATGCTCCTCAGTAAGCATATTTTGTTTTTCGGACGGTGATGTGTGGTATTGGTTGGCTATATCAACCAGTTTGGACTTTAGCCATCATCGTTTGTCTTCGTCCTCAGGTTTCAGGTCAGAAAGTTGATAATATAGGTATTAAAACTGTGTTTCTGTATCTATACGGTTTATGTGCCTTTTAGGGACGTGAAACTTCAATCCCAAAGATAAGGCTTCTAATTCAATTTTGCTTAATTGTAAATTTGACAGATTACAAACGTAACGTTCAGGTGCTTCTCGGAAATCTTCAGTTAACTTTTCTTTGACTAATGCTTTAGTCAGTTGATTTTCATATTCTTTCGCAGTCTTGGACTGTAATTCTTTGACGAAGTTCATGAATTTGAGCCAGCAAGTAATATTTAGCTCATTTATTATGGTATCATAAGTAGCCAGACGCGACTTCAGATTGGAAAGCTTCGCAAATTAACCATCCAGCTCAGAGAATAAAACCACATCAAAATCATCCACCTGAGCTACAAATCTTCTCTATCATATACAAAGTGCAATTGCCAGACACCTTGTGGATACGGGTCATGTTATCGAGATTTCCAAATCCTTCAAAATATTAGACATACAAAGGATAGCGAATCTACTACGGTTTGCTGAAGCAATCGCAATCAAACATCACAGACCAAACTTATGCATACAGAAAGAGAGTGTGGTCAATCTCTCAATCCCTTGGTAACCATATCACTTTCATTACACTGATTAGTCATACACACTAGTGAGCTCAACTCACTAAGCAAGTTTTCAAATTGATGAACTTTGATCTTCTTGAGTTGCCATGTTGACACTGTTTTCTAGATTTTTCTGTCTTCTCTCACCCCCTCTTTTTTTCTTTTTTCATAGTTTGACAGTATATAAATTGATGGTGACTTAGATTATAATACTTATATTCCAGATGCGTTCACCTTATAATGTCTTCTCTATTACCTTTCAAACAATGAAGTATAAAATGTTATTATTTATAACCATTGTAATTTCAGGTAGTTTGCAGCTGATGAGAACCTGTGAAATCGAATGATATCATTTTATACTGGAAATCTGGTTTTTCTTTCTCTATCAAAATTTATCAAGGGAATCAAATGTATGAAAAAATATTTTCCTTCAACGACTTCATTTTCAAACTATGGCAGTATTTATATAACGGATAACAGCAGTCGCACTAAATAACTGCCTAGTCAGTATACATATGTTGAGAATGGAAACAATTAAGATGATTTTTACGGGAACGGATTCAAAGTGTTTTAATTACAAAAATACAAAAGATTACTAAATGTGTAGTAGGTCAAATTGTCAAAAATTATAACTACGGTGATAATAACGATAATTGTGAAGCGGAAGGATTTTAACCGACATAAAACATTAATACGACCACGGTAAAGAGATGAGTTCAACAAAACTTTTATGAATATATAATATAGGTTCATGTCGTGTGTAGCTGGAGCTTCGGCCATGCATAAGCGGAGATAACGTTAAATTTTACAGCGAATGAATTTATCCTTACAGATTATCATTAATGATAAGTCGCGAGGGACTGATTAACTTAACTCAGCAGAGAACTTGCAGATATTAGAATTCGTCATTCTACGTTCATATTACACCAATCAAACCCTGTAATGTTCAGCTATGTGTTTTCAGGTAACACGCTTACGAAGTCCACTGTAATCAACTCCAGAGGAGCATGTGAAGTAAATGTACACAGAAGTGCATCTAAATGACAGTCGACAATTTACTCAGTGTGGAATCATACTTAGTCTAAAGAATACATGGTGTGTACCAGCTACAGAAAAAGAGCGTTTAGTAGACTTGGATGGACGACTTTCAGTTACTTCAGCAGTGGTGTCAAATGCGAATATTAGGCCGGTAAAGTGTGCTTTGGTACCAGGATTTGGCCGGTTGTGATAAGTTTCTTCACATTTCTTTCAATAAGCCGCCTAGGATATCTATTATTTAAGAGCACTATATGAAGATTTTCAGGTACTTCGTCAACTGCATCTTTAAATGCTGACTTTCAGAACTCTGAAGCAAAGAAAATCGACATGATTCCCAACCAGCTTTACCCAAATGTTGGAGTTAGATGCATTGACTTACGATAATGAAGAAGTAATATGTCCGCTGCACGTTTCTTGACTTCACTTCTGCTTTCGACTCTTTACCTAGATGTCTCTTGCTAAATAAGCTCTCCATGACACAAACCGAGTCCTGGGTCACTAACTGGTTGCATTCCTACTTTTCAAACAGAACGCAGTACACCGTATACAAAGGCGAATCCTCCTCTGCTGTGCTCACTGAAGCTGGTGTCCCCCAAGGGGCTGTACTCTCCCCACTTCTCTTTTCATTCTTCCTACATGACCTACCATCTTCAAATGACATTAACTTTGTCAAATATGCTGATGACCTAACTGTATCTTTACCTGTCAAATGTCAAAGTGACTGCTCTAAACTAAATGGCTTCTTATCAGAAATCAGCCAATGGTCCAAGGAAAACGGTCTCACCTTAAACCCCTCCAAATGCCAAACAGTTAATTTCACCTTTAGGCACAAATCTGACCTAAACAAACTGGTTACCACTCACGAGGTGTGCAACATAGATGGCACTGAAATTGAAACCAAGTCGGAAGTTAAATACCTAGGCGTCACTCTATCTTCTGATCTTTCCTGGTCGTCTCATATCTTGACGATTTCCAAGAAAATATTCCGTCTTACCTTCTACATCAAGAAGTTAAGACTTTCTGGTGTAACCCAACCCTTACTCCTACAATTTGTTAACTTCCGTATTCTGCCTATTATTCTCTATTGTTCCCTCTTAGTCTTTCCTGGGCTATTGAAGAAAGACTATACCTTATTACGTAGGATGTTAAAGGTTGTCAGCAGGGTAAGCAGTTTGCCACTTAGCCAGCTTGTTAATATTCTGGTGGACAGGCACATGGACTCATGTGAAAAATGGGCAAAAACCATTTTATCTGACTCACAACACCCTCTACATTCACAACTCTCCCCATGTATCTCTTCAGGGAAAACCAGAAGCCTATATAGGAAACTATATGCCCGCACTAGTAAGTACAAAAACTCATCCATACCTTACCTAGCTCGTGTTCTGTGCGATAAAGAAAGCGTTAGGCGGGAAACCTTTAACTTATTAAATAGTCAGTAGAACAAATGGATCTCGTCTTTCCAAGTCACATCATTTACAGGTAAAACGTTTTCTCTTTACCTTTTTTTTCTCTTTCTGTATTCATTTTTGTTATGTGCTGTTTTGTTTCTCTCTTCCTTACAAACTCTACTTAAAACATTCTTGTTCGTTCTTTCACACTCTGTATACCTCGACCATTTTGCTATTGCTTACGCCAGTAAATATGCTAGTAGTATCTACTTTTCTAACACCTTTAAACACTGTTTAAATTTTGGCTTTGCTACCGACATGCTAATATGTTGTTGTCAAAACTGACTGAGATAACCTTAATCTATGTAGAACTATATTTATTGTTAATGTACTAACTGGATGCAATATTGTAGTAAAATGCTGAGAATTCCATTCTGTATCACAAGTACTGATTTGGAATAAAGCTTAACTTATCTTATCTTAGAAGGGTTTGAAGATTTCAGATTCAGATTTATTGGTTGAGGATAGAAGGCTTGCATTTTTCCACGATGACTAAATCCTAGAAAAATGCTGAAATCACGGTATTCTACAAACTAAAAATCACTATGCGCTACATCCCCACATTAGCCGCATTAGCGTAGCACCTACTAGCAGTTGTGTATAAGTTCATCAATTATAGTATATTTCCACACTCGCATTGGTTCAAAATCCAGTGCTATCTGTGACCAATGACCACATCAGATTCACACAGACTTTTTAAACATGCAGAGCACCTTTTCAGCACTAGACAGCACTATTTACGAAATATTCATAAGCAGTTTAGCATCGACTAATGCTATGGTAAGTTTGAGGGTTATTCACTCTAGATACCTTGTGAATTTAGTAGGGGGAAAATACCACTAAAAATATCTTCAAGTTACCTTGGATTTAAGTGTAATTTTGTGTTTCTAACACATCAACAGTCAAACCCCTTCTATTATTAAGGGAAAATATACAGCAATCTAAGGGTACCGCAATAGTTTGAAAAACCCCGTAGCCCGGCCTTGAATATCCAATATCCAAACACCAGCAAGTCATAAATAGCTGATTTCTTCGCATTCTTTCTTTGTGAAAGTAACAGTTTCATGGCCATCCATGAAGTTCCGCCCAGTAGACAGATTCACACACTTACTGTAGCCCAGTTATTTTAGCAGGTTCGTGTTTTCCTTGGTCATATGCCGAGAATCGCCGACTTGCTAGACACGTACAGATACTGGCCAAAATAAAAAATGGAGCACAGTTCAACAATGTGGACGCACGAGCGACTTGCAGCCAACCAATCATAAAAATGAGGAATTTTTATACAAAAATGACGTATATTCACATGAAAATGTATGAAAACACATTGAACAGATTATCCTTTTCTGACATGACTTAAAAATATGTCCCAGTTATCATGAAGAGTATGAGTTGCTGAGGTGGACTAGTTTCTGTGGATGTATTCACCGAAATGACTGAAGATGTGCTGTTTTGTGAATCGTTCATCTCTCTTCTCTTGCTGTGTAGTCCTCTCCAAAGCCCTCGGTTAAATTACTATGGTTTCAGTAAGAGGATCGACGACTACATACAAGGAAGATGAGGATAATAAAACAAATTGAAATAAACGATAGTGACTCTAAATCTATCCGTAATCGTAACCCTAACCGCAAACTCAACACTGGCCCTAACATTAATCCTAACCCTAATGACAATCCTTATCCTGCCGTAAACCCAATTATGACCGTAACCCTGACTGTAACCTTAATATTTAACCACTGTTCTAACCCTAACGAGATATTACAACATTGTCCAAACAATAATAAAGGGCGTGATCTGGGTGAAAATTGCTCCTTATTCGATGAATAGGGTTGATATTTCATCTATGATAATGAGAGGTGCCGTCAGCCAACGACTGGCACGCGTTCAATTTCATTGGTCCTGGGACGCCATTGTTGAACTTCTCCAAAAAAGGTCCGGGGCAAAATCAACTGGGACAGAAGTTCTAGCCTATAATACTTGAACTTCTGCTAATCGACCTTAACAATTAAGAAAGCTGAAATGACAAGTATTTGGAAACAAACTGAGAGATAACTAAACACTTGTTAATGTCCTAGAACGAAGCGTTTTGCGCACTTGTAGACATAAAACTTTCAGGACAGTATTAACATTCAGTGGTGAAGCGAATTAAAATTCCTTTCGGAAACGGTTGATACAATACAAAATGACACAATGGGTTTTATAAACGATTCTACGCGACAACCGAAAGAACTAAAGCCTACAACCTATTTTTCTACAGATAGGTCTTCGTCTGTAATGGATTTTATCTCGCAGCACTTTTCAAGGCGAGACATTCATCTTCAAAACAGTGCCGAGACAGGGTTCCGAGGTGAATACCACGGAGATTTGTCTCATTCGAATTGATTATCAAGCGAGTGAAAAACGAACAGACTGCAAACACAACCCAGGATTCCAAATATTAACACTTTTCCCGATTTACCAGTTTCCGCTAAACTTTTCACTCCATCAAAACAAAATGGAGCCCACCCAATCACGGGCACACATACACTAATTCAGACATTCATCAAAAAGCCAATCACTGGAGCACACTGTACGCTCAGTCAGACTGATACCACAGTTTCAGTCAATCATGGAATGTGCATAGTCAACGTGAGGAAATCGTTGGATAAGTTGGCACTTTTGGTCGGTGAAGGCGTGCGCGAAAAGTAGGTGAAATGCAACATAAATTACCTGCTTTTCCCGTTTTCTCATGTCCCGGAAAATCTTCACTTCCTTCATCTTTCATTTTAATCGCTCTTAATCCCACCCTCGCTACGCTTTTTACACATTTTCTGAAATCTAGAAAGAAGCGATCGCCCACTTCTTCCCATCTAACCCATTTAGATTCCCACATTTCCTACATCTTCACTCGTTATTCCTGATTTCTCTCTTGACTCTTAAGTACTAGGCCGAATTCTCCTACTGTAAGAAGTATAATGACAAATGTTCAAATGTCTTTACTATTATACATTACAGGCGTATAAAGTAAGGCGAATGCCATGTGTGAATGATATATTTCACACTATTAAGAGTAATCCCTCTATAAAAACAATAATAGGCAGAAACGTCTACAATAATGATTTCATAGATTATTTCGGTTTATGTGATTGCGTCGGACCAGGTCGACTGATGTTGCAGGACTTCTCTAAAAATAAAGAACAGAAGGATAAAGTTGAACGAAAGATTTCTTTACATAACCTACCTCTTCCGATAAGGATTCGTTTTTTAAAGTCGGTCATGATACTGAGGCATGTTTGTGTGTAAATTTTTGAACAGGTTGCAAGCAACCTGATAGGGAGGGTGTTGCCAAGTGACGACTGACAACCATCTTAACCGTGATGTTGTCTGATATTCTTACACAATTTGTAGATCGTAGTAGTCTTCAACTGTTGGTTATGTGATGAACACTCCCGGGCATATTCTTTGTGTTCACGAATGAAAAGAAAGACGCTAGAATTGACAACGTATGTCATTTGCCAGCAGCAAATAACTTTTCAACTTAGTCGCTACTTTTATTACATATCGTTATGAAAGGAAAGTCAAATTTCAATGACTCAATAAATAATAAAAAATTACTTCCGTAGTTTTGCTGAAGAGAGTTCATTTTCGTCTGCGGATCTTTGATTCGAGAGCTAGCCTGTGACCGGTGTTCTTGGTAACAGAGAGACGAAATATGGATTGCTGTAAACACGGAAATCTTATGTTACCGTCTACTCAAGTCACACAACATACACTTCATTTTCCGGTTGCACTGATCGTTGAAAATAGTTTTTAGCTGGAGGTGGTATAGAAGTATGTCTGCGATCTTGTGAACACTAGAATATCTGCCTTCCTATAACGGATTATTTGCATATTGGCTATGCTTAAAAAATATGAGACTTGATTTATTTGAGTTAACCTCCGAAATGTCGGTTCATTCCTTGACCACCTTCGCAGATGTTGGCATTTTAGAAGTTACGGATCCGGTTTTCATTAGGTTGCAAGAAACGAGAAGAACCACAAGTTAGAAAATGCTTGTGCCAGCAGATAAGCACCACATGAATGGTACACAGGCAAAATTATGTATATTTGGGTTTCTTGGTAAACCAACTCGTAACCCAAATGGGATACCTGTGAGATATAGTAACTCGCAGAATTAGTCTCTTTAAGTAGGGGGTAGTTAACTACTGGAACAAATAATTAGTTCCAAGGTTAGCTTGTTTCCCAAACAATAATCTGCATCAAACTATTTCATATCCTCTAAACTCATCATATTAGCTATGAATAGACTCATGTGGATGGCATTTCGCTCTGACTATACAGATGTTGAACTGTCTCATCCATGCCACCAACCACTGATATGTTTTAACACTAGAACGTCAAAGTAGTTGAAGATTGCACGACCGATTCATGGTTGTTCGCTCAAACACAACTCCTCCATATTTTTCACGGGAGTCATCAATACTGCAGTCATCGCTTCATCGTTCGCTGTTTGGAAGAAGATAGAAAAATATCAGAAGTCTTATCGTGATTTATTGTTATAACATTCATTCTTAGACCTTGTGTAATAAACTTATTGATGGTTACACACTGGTATAAGAATATAGGATTCTCGAGTCGCCAATCTGTGTTCTGCATTTTTTCGCGTTGGTTATTACAAATTGTTTCCGGACGTCTTCAGAGACAGGGTGAGGTCCAGTTTAGTAAGAGCAGGAAATTGACAGTATCTGAAAGATCGATGATATAAGGTTTCCTCGAAAGAAAGTCACTAAGGAATTCTCTTGACACCTGATAGGGCCCTGTCAATCACGCCTCAAAACCGTTAACGCCCAGCTCTTGCTACGCCGGGCCTCTCGCTGTCCCTCAAAACCTTTCAGAAACGCTTAGTATTAACGGACGCAAAAACCAAAACACCGATTGGCGACACGAGAGTTCTTTATTCTAATATCAACATATAACCAACATAATAACTGAGGTCTATGAAGAAATATTACAATAATAAATCACGAAATTACTTCTGACGGTTTTGTCCTGACTTCTTTCTGAACAGCGACCGATGAGACGATGACTGTTATATTCATGCCTCCACGAAAATATAGGGAAGTGGGGTTTGAGCAAACAACCATGAACTGATCGTTCAATCTTCAACAACTTTGGCAGTGCGTGTGGAAATATGTCGGACGCATCACACCTTTAATGCTATGGGCATAACATGTGATAAAAAAGAATTCCCACTCGAAAGCCTGAGGATCCCTAAGCTCACCTAGTAAACGAATAGTTTTACCGTACACCGATTCGCCTGGCGAGCACTGCAGATCCCTTTTTGGCGTAGCACGGATGCTAAGCGGGACCAGTGGCAGCGAATCTGTCCACCTACTGTTTTCTACTGCCATCAACGCGGCTTTCAGTTGACGGTGGAAACGTTCTACTAGCCCATTTGCCGCAGGATGATACGCGGTCGTGCGAATGCGTTTGCATCCTAGCACCTCTTACAGTTTCTTGAAGCTTGTGGATTCGAATTGTTGTCCACGATCGGTAGTGACAGTGGTGGGGCATCCAAAATGGGCAACCCAGCCTTCCATGAAGGCACGACAGATGGTTTGAGCCGTTACATCTGGTATCGGAATGGCTTCCGGCCAATGTGTGAAACGATCCACACATGTGAGCAAATACGAGCAGCCGTTTGACGGGGGTAGGGGCCCTACTATATCAAGGTGTATATGGTGGAACCGAGCGTCTGGGGTCGCAAACGTCCCCAACGGCGTGATGTTATGCTTGGTGACTTTATCACGTTGGCATTGCACACAAGTACGTGTCTATTGACGCACATCACGGTTGATACTGGGTCACACAAATCTGGCCGATATCAACTTGCCCGTTGCTCGTATGCCAGGATGGGAGAAATTGTGGAGGGACTCAAACACGGTGTGGTGTAAAGATCTGGGGACAGTCGGTCGAGGGGTGCCCGTTGACATATCGCAAAGTATAGTTGTTTCACTGTTCAGCAGGGGGACACGTTCTATCTTCAGTGAGGTTTTATATGACAGGTGTTCTAAGTTCAAATCCTTCAGTTGGAGTTCGGCCATTTTATTAAGATCGATAGTTGGTGGCACCGACGTAACTCATACGCGAGACAAAGCGTCTGCTACCGGGTTATCAGCTCCAGAAACGTGCTGGATATCGGAAGTGAACTGTGAAATATAGTCTAGATGGCGTGATTCACGTGGTAAATACCGGTCTGAAGTAGTGTGGAGGGCGTACGTCAATGGCTTATGGTCGGCGAATACAGTAAATTGTCGGCCTTCCACTAGGTGACGAAAGTGCTTGACGGCAGCATAAGCAGCGAGAAGTTCTCTACCGAAGGTGCTGTATCTAGATCTGCATGCAGTAAGTTTAAGGAAAAAGAAAGCAATCGGTAGCAATGCATTGGACATACTCTGTTGTAGTACGGCTCCAGTCGCAGTGTTAGAGGCATCTACTGAAATGATGATTGGTAGTTGTACATCTAGGTGGACTAACATTGTGGCATCAGCAATAGCTTTCTTGATAGTTGTGAAGGCTGTCAAGGCTTCCTTAGTGGACACCAAAGACTTGCATTTCCCTTAAAGCATATCAGTCAAGGGGGTCAAGTTGTGGGCGCACTGGGGGATAAAGTAACGGTAGTAGCTAACCACCCCGAGAAAAGTGCATAGTGCCTTGAGAGAAGTGGGTAGAGGGAAGTTTTGGATAGCCTCTATCCGCTCAGATAACGGATAAATGCCATCCTTGTCCATCCTGTGTCCCAAAAATGTCAAAGAAGTGACTCCAATCTGACACTTCGGCAAGTTGAGTGTTAGGGAATGTGTCATAAGCCTTTAGAAAACTGTCTGCAAATGAAGTTGATGTGTTGCCTCATCTGGACTAGCTACCAAAACATCGTCCAGGTAGGCAAAGGCGGAATCGAGCCCGCGCAAAACGTCGTGGATAAACCGCTGGAAGGTTTGGGCAGCGTTCCGTAGTCCGAAAGGCATTCGAAGAAATTCGAACAGGCCAAACGGTGTAATCACGGCCGTCTTGGGTATATCCGCGGGTTCGACGGGGTTCTGGTAATAAGCCCGTGTTAGGTCCAGCTTGCTAAATACCCTAGCTCCCTTGAGTGATGATGTTAAATCGTGTATGTGGGGGACGGGGTAACGATCGGGAACAGTTTGTTTGTTTAACCTGCGGTAATCGCTACAAGGTCGCCAATCTAAACCGTTATTCCTGGGTACCAGGTGTAACGGTGAGGACCACGGGCTGCTGGATGGCCTAATATTCCCCATTTCTAGCATATGCTCAAACTCTGCTTTAACATCCTTCAGTTCTTCTGGGGATAGTCATCTCGGTTTTGCGAAAACTGGCGGACCAGTAGTGACAATATGTTGTGTAACGTTGGAAGTCACACATGGCAGGCCGCTGCTAGGTTTGAACAAATCCGAAAATGAATTGCATTATATGCGAATATGGACCAGTACTAGTGGGTGTGGCATATACAGGGCTGAGGGCTGGGCACTTGGTGGCGATACCGTTAATCGAGAGGTTTGTGGCTGAATCTATCAACCTGTGCTTACCTGGACTTACGAGTAGTTGGTAATGCTGTAGCGGTTCCATACCGATGATTCCTGTGGTCACATCCGCTATCAGAAAGACCCAGCGGAATGCGCGGCGCAAGCCGATATTCAGGTCAAGAAAGCGCCTGCCAAACGTAGCTATCG